TGCTGCCGCCCGCATGCGTCACCCACACACAAATCGGCACACCCCTCACACGTTTCGTGGCCCCATAGGAGCTCCGCCGAAGGCCCCAGTGCTGCCGCCCGCATGCGTCACCCACACCCAATTCGGCACACCCCTCACACGTTTCGTGGCCCCATAGGGAGCTCCACCGAAGGCCCCAGTGCTGCCGCCCGCATGCGTCCCGCACACCCAATTCGGCACACCCCTCACACGTTTCGTGGCCCCATAGGAGCTCCACCGAAGGCCCCAGTGCTGCCGCCCGCATGCGTCCCGCACACCCAATTCGGCACACCCCTCACACGTTTCGTGGCCCCATAGGGAGCTCCGCCGAAGGCCCCAGTGCTGCCGCCCGCATGCGTCCCGCACACCCAATTCGGCACACCCCTCACACGTTTCGTGGCCCCATAGGGAGCTCCGCCGAAGGCCCCAGTGCTGCCGCCCGCATGCGTCCCGCACACCCAATTCGGCACACCCCTCACACGTTTCGTGGCCCCATAGGGAGCTCCGCCGAAGGCCCCAGTGCTGCCGCCCGCATGCGTCACGCACACCCAATTCGGCACACCCCTCACACGTTTCGTGGCCCCATAGGGAGCTCCGCCGAAGGCCCCAGTGCTGCCGCCCGCATGCGTCACGCACACCCAATTCGGCACACCCCTCACACGTTCGTGGCCCCATAGGGAGCTCCACCGAAGGCCCCAGTGCTGCCGCCCGCATGCGTCACGCACACCCAATTCGGCACACCCCTCACACGTTTCGTGGCCCCATAGGGGGCTCCGCCGAAGGCCCCAGTGCTGCCGCCCGCATGCGTCCTGCACACCCAATTCGGCACACCCCTCACACGTTGCTGCCGCCCGCATGCGTCCCACATTCGGCACACCCCTCACACGTTTCGTGGCCCCATAGGGAGCTCCGCCGAAGGCCCCAGTGCTGCCGCCCGCATGCGTCACGCACACCCAATTCGGCACACCCCATCACACGTTTCGTGGCCCCAAAGGGGGCTCCACCGAAGGTCCCGGCGGGTGTGCCCGCATGCGTCCCGCACGTTTATTTCGGCACACCCCTCACACGTTTCGTGGCCCCATAGGGAGCTCCACCGAAGGCCCCAGTGCTGCCGCCCGCATGCGTCCCGCACACCTATTTCGGCACACCCCTCACGCGTTTCGTGGCCCCACAGGGAGCTCCGCCGAAGGTCCCAGTGGGTGTGCCCGCATGCGTCCCGCACACCCATTTCGGCATGCTCTTCACACGTTTCGTGGCCCCATAGGGAGCTCCACCGAAGGCCCCAGTGGGTGTGCCCGCATGCGTCCCGCACACCCAATTCGGCACACCCCTCACGCGTTTCGTGGCCCCATAGGGAGCTCCACCGAAGGTCCCAGTGGGTGTGCCCGCATGCGTCCCGCACATTTATTTCGGCACACCCCTCACACGCTTTGTGGCCCCATAGGGAGCTCCACCGAAGGCCCCAGTGCTGCCGCCCGCATGCGTCCCGCACACCCATTTCGGCACACCCCTCACGCGTTCGTGGCCCCACAGGGAGCTCCGCCGAAGGTCCCAGTGGGTGTGCCCGCATGCGTCCCGCACACCCATTTCGGCATGCTCTTCACACGTTTCGTGCCGAAGGCCCCAGTGGGTGTGCCCGCATGCGTCCCGCACACCCATTTCGGCACACCCCTCACGCGTTTCGTGACCCCTCACACGTTTCGTGGTCCCATAGGGAGCTCCACCGAAGGCCCCAGTGGGTGTGCCCGCATGCGTCCCGCACACCCATGTCGGCACACCCCTCGCACGTTTCGTGGCCCCGCAGGGGGCTCCACCGAAGGTCCCAGTGGGTGTGCCCACATGCGTCCCGCACACCCATTTCGGCACACCCCTCACACGCTTCGTGGCCCCATTGGGAGCTCCACCGAAGGTCCCAGTGGGTGTGCCCGCACGCGTCCCGCGCACCCATTTCGGCACACCCCTCACGCGTTTCGTGGCCCCATAGGGAGCGCCACCAAAGAAGATATTCACAATTGCGGTATTCACAATTGCATATGGTTGGGTCCTTCGCCAGGATAATTTTAGCTGGTATCGTTGATATGACGTGTCTCATCTTTTCAGCAATCGTTTATTTCGGCCGTGCCACATCGTGGTCGGTGTTGCAATTATCTTGCGGTCAGATCGTGGTGTCAGGGCCTGCAAGCGGCAGCGTGATCAGCACCAGGCACCGAGGTTATG